TCCTGAGTCATTAATTAGGTCTGCTGACACATTTCAAGTCTTGCTGACAGCTACAAGGTAAAGGACTGTGACCTCACCACATCCTCTCAGGATCCAGAAGCTCCCCAGAATGATTCCCAGGAAAAAGCTTTAGAAGTTGTAGAATTAACTTGATGATCAGATGTATCACAGAGAAGCTGAATCCAGGTCTGAYGGGCTAAAACTCCCCCTTTGGTTTTAAACAGGCTAAAACACCAAATGGTATTAATTCCTTTCCTAGAAAGGCTAATTTAGAAGCGTCATGGAGCTACTTGATCTGCCAAGACACCTGGGTTTGAATCTTTGCCAGTATTTCATATCTGTGTGACCTTGGGCAAGCCAGGTCATGGGTTGGASGCTCAGCGATTCTGGATTTCACCTTCTATCTTACCCAGGGCTCCAAGGAAAAGATGCGAAGTGACTTTTCTACGTAGTTTGTTTTGGCACTGAGACCTCTCACCATCTGGCCCTGTGCCTGGGTCATTATTGGTAGTTCCACTGTGCCCAGAAATTCTGGAACTTTCTGGCACAGCCAGAATCTAGTGTGCTTCAAAAGAAGTTTTATTTTGTTTTTCTGTCACTATTTCCCCCAATCTGGTCTAAGCAATGGCACCTAATGAGGTACAGGATCCCTTTCTGACCTCCATCCCGAGACTTATTTGTTACTTAGAATTAGGTGCCTTCCAAAGTCTGCCAGACCAGGCAGGTGCATAACATTTCTAATCAGAGTCCAACCAATCCCAGAAAACACGTTTCAGTGAAAAATGAAGTGACTAATGGACTAAGTCTAAATGATTTGGGACTGGGTAAAAATTCCATTTTCCTGGTTAAGACCATGTGGAGCTGTTAAATTCACTTCTGAGATTGTTTATGGGTTTGCATATTAATCTTCCTGAATGTATACTTATTACTCTATCTATAATTTGCTGAAAAATCAAACCATGGGTAAAAAAAATACATAATCTCTCAAATATATTCAAAATAAAAAGTGTAAATATGTACTGGGGGTCCCATAATTTGGGACCCCAGTACATATTTCATAGTTCATAAAGGAGGGAGAACAACTTTTCTTGAGGGCCTACTCTGTGCCAGGCTCACGTATAACTATTATAACACTTATAACTATTCTTGTATTACAGAAAGAAAACTGATGCTCAGAAAAGTCAACAGTAGAGTTAGGGTTTGAATCCAGGTCTGACGGGCTAAAACTCCCCCTTTGGTTTTAAACAGGCTAAAACACCAAATGGTATTAATTCCTTTCCTAGAAAGGCTAATTTAGAATCTGCAGTTTTTCACCTTAATCTAATAAATAAACCTGATTATGTTTAAGGAATTCAAAAGGATGGCAACTGCCCAAATTGTCAGCAAATCCATCTGACAGTGACAATGATAATGAGGACCAGATGTGGCTCTAAAAGAGCCAGGCACGATTCCACTTGACACATGCTTATCTCCGGTGAGTGTTTCACCAGGCTATGAAGTCGGTGTAATGACAATATTGACTGCTGAGGTCTTGCCTGGCAGAGGTGGGATCTGAACCTGGATAGTGAGTCTGACTTCTGGGATTGTGCTTTCTTTAATAATCTCTCTGTAGTTGTCAAAGTAAGTAGAACAAAGAAGGTCACCTAAAAACCAGCTACCAGCACACGGGAACTACTGGATGGAAGACAAAATATAGGAATTTTACAAAGACTGTGCTCCCGTGTTAATGGACAAGTAGAGAGGGACTGTTCCAAGCACAATGGGCAGTGGTGTGGATGGTGATCCAATCCAAAGTCTAGAAGTCACRGAGATGTTAATATGTGAAAGTGATAAAGACACCAATGGAATTAGCTCCTCAAATAAAAGGAGGGCTGTATGGCAAATCATATCAGAATGAAAAGAGGGGATTTTCTGAGCACAGCRTGAGGGTAATTTCAAGCAGAAACTACAATGGAATGGGCCTTTCTTTCCTGGTCCTTAGAAGAAATGTGTACCCACCTCCTTCCTGAGATGGGCAGCCTGCAGGCCTTAGCCCAGGAAGCAGGTCCCCAGTCCTCTGGCTGTTGTCATAATTTCCTATTACAAACAATGAATCAAAATCGGGGATGGGGGAGGGAGGGTTGGGTTGTGGCAAAGAGGTAGAGAGCTTGCCTAGCATGCGTGAGGCACTGGGTTCGATCCTCAGCACCACATAAAAATAAAGATATTGTGTCCAACTATAACTAAAAAACAAATACTAAAAAAGGGGGGGAGGGGCTCAATTTCTGAGGCTGGTGTCTTTAGGAAATATCTGTTTGGGGTTTTCTTTTAGGGGTAGGAATAGTGTAATAGTCCTTAATTCTACTGATCATCAATCGTTTAAATCACTATTATCAAATAGTTTCTTTGTGACTATGTAAGCTAAAAAATAGCTAATCTCTCTCTTGCTCTATTAAGCATGCAGGATAGGGTAATGGTTATTTGGGCTCCAGGTTGGAACCCAGCTCTGACATTTAACAGCTGTGTGACCTCAGCTGTGTACCTCAGTTTCCTCATGTGAAAATGGAGATGTTATAGGTTATACCTTCTGAGGTCATTGTAAGTGTACCAAACGACAGCCCTCGGAAYAGTGGTGGCATATCATAACTATAGATAGATGTTATTGGCAATGATTGAGTTTATCTTTCAGTTGACTCACAATTTAGGTGGCAATCTTGAGCTAAACCCAACCRAAATTAGGGCTTGTATTCCCATGTTAATTATGAAATTGGCATATGTGAGTAATGTCATTATTCAATGGAAAGAGTCTCCAACCCTCAAGAAATCAATTTAATTCAAGTAGTAACTATTTATTGTATTGACATATTTACAAAATATTACAAAGTAAAATACCACTCTAATTCACCATATTACACAAGGGCTGCATACAGGCAAGACAAAGTATATGGAAAACACTTACTTCTGTCTTTGGTATTAGAAATCTACACAAATCTGCAGCATTTAAAGTTTCCAATACAAAGTATTAAACAAAGATAAAGTTGTAATCAGTAATGTCATGAAAAGGGGCTTTAATATCCTCTGCTCTGAAACCCCCAGTCCAATGAAATGCAACAGGAAGACCACACACCATTTGTAAAAGCGGAGTCTACTGACTGAAATAAACAACACATGCTACAACACTGTACACAGGAGCATTTCAATTTGTGTGACACTGTGCTCTCCATAATAACATTTGGCTGACAGTAACAGACATAACATTCCCGAGACGAGAGTCACAGGTAAGACTTTATAGAGAAGAAATCCACTCCAAGAGTGCACCTTGGCAGTGTAACTTCACTATACAGAACATTTTGTAAAATACATTTTCATGATAGTTTACACATATACAAAGACTTAACTGGTTTTAGCAAATGATATTTTTTCTAAAACACAATCACAGTTTACATAATTCTGAGGTAAAGGTCTTGAGTCTATCCTAGATGAGAAGACCTAGCCCATGAGGGTCTCTAGATGGGGATGTGTCCACTGAATATCATGTTCTGGCACCTAGTGGATTGGGGGAGAAGGCAAGCTTTAGTTACTTCATTTCAGAGAGGATCCAAAATTTCAAAACTCAACGTTCCTAGTTCAGCTCTGTGAAGTTATAATGCTTGAAAACAAATTTTTCCCCCAAACAAGAAACACTCTCCAAATCTTGTCAGAACATGATTTCTACCATGGAGGAAGTATTTCATCAGGAAAGGGCCAAGTTAGTGTCTTAATTGCCTCAACTGGGGACTCTGTGCATCCCAGGAAGAACATATTTAGACCCCTCACATAAAAAAGAAGTGCAGGCCTGCTAAAATAAATCCACTTCAAAACTCATCTTCCCACCAGTCAGTACATGTCCAGAAATGCCTGCAGATGGGAAGCCCATAGAAGCTCAGTGAGCTTCCTTCTGTCCCAGAAATGCATGAAGAACCCAGGTATGCTTTCCTTCCAAAATCCTCAACAAAGTAGTTTGTGCTATGGTAGAAAAGAAAGTAGTCTTAGAGTGGTTTGTGCTGCTCTAAGAAAATGTGGGAATCAGCAGATATGTTCCAGGTCTTTCCAAGAGGGGAAGAAAAGGCATATGTTATAGATACTGCTGCTATGAAATGATTTACTATAGATTATAGCCCTTGGTCTGTTTCTGTAAACAATGCCACCTTACTCAGACTATTGGCAACTATTCATAATATGCCCAGCCAAGATTATTTCATCAAGTCAAGTACTACCAAAATAACCCTATGAAGTAGTGAAGGCTGTGAAGATTTAATATGAAGACACTCTCTTTCATGTGCTTTCCCCCCTCTTTTTACAAAGATGTCTGCAAATATAATCAAGACATCAAATGAATAATTAAAACCCTCTGGAATATATTCCTTATGATGCAAACCAGAGCATTTGCCTCATACGTTTATTATGAGTAACATCTGGGGGTAAAAGTGTTTGCTGGGCAATGAGTCACTTGTTGGGCAATTTAAGACAAGTAATTCTGGATCTTTCCAGTAGGCTGGATCCTACCCAAATGGCAGAACTCTAATTTTTCTTCATGCTGAGAAAAGCAAAATTAAAATTCTGCTTCTTTGTGCCGTCATAAACCCTGGTGAATGGAAGGTGAGAATGAAGTAAATATGCATTAGGCATTTACTAATGGTGGGCATTTAATGGTGTCTGACCCAATGAAGTAAAGAGAAACGTGAACCAATATGTTTGCAGGACTCTTTTTAGAAAGAAAAGCTTTTGGCTTTGCCCTGGCCCCTGACAATGACAGACTGGCAGGCTGTTTCTTGCACAGCTCTAGGCAAACCATTAATCTGTCAGTACCAAACATCTTTAGAAATCCCAGCATTAAGACTTAGGAGGGGAGAAGGAGGGAGGATATTGAACAGCCAGAAATTCAGCTTTTTAAACACTTCAGTTAATTCATAATGCTGTGCAGGCTTCTGTTTATCCCTTCGCTGAGATTTCTGGTCCAGGGTCCAGTGCTGGATTGGAATTTATTCATCCTCTTCCACATATGTGGATGGAAACCAGCCCACCTAAAAAAGAAAATCAACCAACATGATGTTGCATCTGGCATTTCAAAGGATTCTACAAACAGCCCTTCATTTTCATAATATCCCAATTAGACTGGGGTTTTATGCTCACTATAGGTAAAGACAATGGGTTTAACTATTCTTAGAAGCCTAATAGATTGAATGATAAAAACAGAGGAATAAAGTAAGCTTCAACAATGAGTTAGAATCTGTTAGCACACACAAAAATATGTAAATTAAGTGTAACACAGGTCTCAAGTACATAATGACTCCTATTTCTGCTGTAGAACTGGTGTAAAAGACAGTACCATGTCCCATTCTTTCCAATTRGGATCCGCAGCTCTTACTGATATCTGACACTCCACATAAAGTACAGGCTCTGTGGCTGAGGTTCTGAAAAGAACTGAAATACTCATCAGCTCTTTCCTAAACAGGAAGCCCTYCAGCTTGCTTCCACGAACATTCTTGATGTCACTATGGTATTTATGCAACACGTTTTCAGTAAGGCATGACACTGGTCTCTAGGCCAGTGGTGGGTGGCATGAAGTCTGCCCCACAATGGATGTCCATCATGCCTCCCACTGGTCTGCTTCAGTCAAGGGCACAAGCACTTGAGAGCCACAACTCACCCTGCCGTTCACTTCTCCTCTCCACCAGCCATTTGCACTCATCTTCGTGTAAATCTTCACCACATCTCCTTTCAACAAGGAGAGTTCTCGCATATCTCTTGCACAGAAGTCATACCGAGCGATGGCGATGCCTAGCACTTTCGGACTTAGTACTGCAAAGGAAATAATGGGAGTCAGAGTGGACATGGGGTGGGTGAGCAGCCATAAGAACCCAATCAGAAGAGTGTGACTGATGCCACCAAAAGCACAGCTGTGACTTCATCACAGCCAGTGGTGGTGGCAGACAAGAGCTTGAAACAGCACAGTGGCCATTTCAATCAGCTGTGGGCGAATGCCTTTCATAAGTTTCAGTCACTGTTCTGCTTTCACATTCTTTGAATTTTTAAAAACTAATTTTTGGAAAAAAAATAAAACTAGCTAGTATCTTGAGTTACTATCTGAAAAATGAAATAAAAAAACCAACTTTTGCAAAAAGCTGCTATGGTGGCACAGTTGTCTATTTCTAACTAGAACCTCTACGGTCAAGCTATATGTTTTGTCTAGCATCTACTTTAACTGATTCTCAAATCACTAAATTTTTCACTCTCATGAAAGTCTGTCAAATTGATGTCATTACTTCTAATTAAATAGCATTTGCCCTCCTAACCAAACTTTTTATGTTAAGACTCTTTGGGGATAAAACTAGTTACTGTTTTATGTGAGAGTGTGAAAGAAGTTTCATAGAAAGAATACAAATACTCCCTTAAAGAAACCTTTAACTAAAATGTCTAATCAAAATAAGTTGTCCAGGAATTCAACTCCTGTATTCAGAGATTTTTTTGTTTGATTTAATATTTTTGAGCCCTCCTTTCTCTGAACAGAAAAGTCCATTMGAGCTCCACATGGTTGGAGTCTCTAGAGTTTCATAACAAGTTTTATATCAACTTCTCCACCTGTTGCTCTTTGGGCTCATAAACTGTTTTCAATTATATGTTCAGTGATTCTGAGAATCACTCATTTGAGATTGGTGGGACTTTATAAATCTTAAATGGTGAAGGAGCTTCAGTGTAAGAGAAAGACTGGGAAGCTCCATCCACCTGTGTGTTTAACGGTTCCCAGTCCCCAGGCAGCCACAGCTATGACCCATGTTGCCCTGGAAGAGTGTGCCCACTTAGCAACAGGGATCTCTGGCCTATTACTTGTGGCTTTGTAATGACAGAAATGTTTTTAGTCTCCAGGTGTCGATCAAAAGATAAATGAATGGCAATGCTGTAGATTTCAGAACTGTAAAGGGAGTAAAAATGGGTCATTTTATTTTACTGTTCAGGACACAAACCATTTTAATGGTTTTCTTACTGAAAACTGTCCCATTGCCGGGGCACTACTCTTAGAGTCAGAGCACATAAAAACACCCCTGTGATGGAAAAACCCAATCATCAACTTAACTGTGTGACCTTGCACAGGCCTCTTAACCCCTCTAGGCCACATTTTTCTCATCTATAAAATGAAAGGTTTGTACTAGATGACTTTTAAGGTCTTTCTATTTCAAAACTCTATGATTCTATTGGGACTTACAGGCTAATTTTTTTAAAACCTGTAAGACAAAATATTTTACCTAGCCATAATGTTGTCCCTTCAATGCCACATAAATAGCCATTAAACTCTCTAGCTAATGACAGAAATCAAGGCCAAAATGCCTGGGCAGAAACCAAAGAGATGTAGGATTGATAGGCATCCTTTCAAGCAATATGCACTGAATTTTATACTTCTATTTGAAAGTAAAATTACGATTTGGGTTCTTTTTATTTTCTTTGTGGAAATACATAAGCACTGTCTTTTCTGGCCTAAAGTTTCTAGTCTTCAAAAAAATATTAATGGTATTTGCAGAATACTTCATCTCCCTTTATACTTCCAGTCCCCATCCCTTTCCCACCTCTACCCACAGACACATTATAAAATGTCTCATTGAAATATATGGCRTGAGCACACACGCAAAAACCAGAGAAGTGAAATGTCATGACAAACAATGACTTTATGACAGAGAAGAGTAAAGTGCATGGTGGTAATGGAACTCTAGGGACTGTCTGTGAGGAGATGTATCTATATGAGAAGCCATACACAGAAGTCAAAATATTTTATTTGCAAACAGAAGCAAGCTGGAGAGACATATAAAAGCAGTAAAGCAGTACCTGACCAGAAAGGAGTGGAAGAAGGGGGAACAAAGCTGTAGTCTGGAGGAGTTACAAAAGAAAAGCCACAGAACAAAGAGGGGGCTTAGAGAAAGAAAKAAAAAGAGAGAAGCAAAAGAACATTTAGGAATTGGTTAAAAAAAACTCAACACAACTATTTTGTTGTCTGTAATCATAAGATAATTATCACATYCAAGTTGCAATATCAAGCTGCGTTTTCACCCATTGCTCTACTCTCACTGTTTCTGAATGAAGAACAAGTCGGACTTTCACATTTTGACATTTTGATTCACAGGAATTCCATTCAGAGTGGTCTATCCTTTAACAGGCAAACACTGCAAACCAATTCCACGTTGCCACCTTTGAACTTCATCCATCCAAGGTTGTTCAGGGACAGCCTCCTCATTTTGATGTGGTGCCCAATTTCCACTTTGTTACAACAGTAGGAAGGGGGATCCCATAAATTCTTGATGTAAAATGTGTTTCACATCAATACTAGTGTGAATCAGTAGTGTCAATGAAATATGCAGAACCCATCGAAAATTAAGAAAACCACCCAATTTATTAGGAACCACCCTCAACTCACAATCAAGCATGTACATCTCAGGTTATTTTCAAAAGAAGAAAAATGCAATTAGAAATGATAACCACCCTGAATTTTACCATCTCTGGCAAATAAAGTACTTATATCCTCCCAATTATAAAAAATGTACAGAAAAGTTTTATGCATTTGGATGCTCAAAACTTTTTACTTTACACTCTTAATAATAAGAGCTAACAACCTTTATCAAATGTTTATCAAGTTTTAGATATCATGCTCAAAATATTCAGTATTTCATTTAATCACTACAATAGCTCTAGGAGGAAGATATTAATACTATTTTCCCTTTGTATCTGAGCAAATCCAGATTCATACCCAGGCAGTATGACCCCAGGGTCCATCCTCTTAACTGATGCTGCGCTACTCTGTCCGCACCTTCTCTTCTGTTGCAGGTACCTCCACAGACAAATGCCATTACCATGAACAAGGAAGGCAAGGGTTATAAGCTTCCTCACAATATTCATTCTTCCTTCTTCCATATAATAGATCACTCAGTTCAACTATGTTCACCCAGCAGAAGATTGCATTTCCCAGTCTCCCTGCAGTTTGGTACATCTATATGGCCAAGTTCCTGGTCAATGATATAGACGCATAAGTATCAGAAGGTAGCTTCCAGGATCGTGAAAGACAGCAGAAATGCGCCCTTCTTTTTAGTAATATATTCTATTCTGCTATGTGGCATGTGAAAGCTACCATCTTGGTCTATGAAAAGGAAAGCCTCTCTTTCAGGCTAACAGAGCACATGCTTGAAAGAACCTGAGTTACTAAAGAGTTCCTGGAACAGAGATGACCTGCCCTTCTCTCCTGCCTGGGCTGACTACCACTAGGTTTTTACAGGAAAGAGAAACTATCTATCCTACTCAAGCTGATATTGTTTTGTCTTCCTGTCACCTGTACCTAGACCTAATMTAAACTGTTACAAAAAGTTTTCCATAACCAAAGATGAGGTAAAAGTGGGCCAAACAAATACCAAAAAAAAAAAMCAAAAAAAACCTGGGGACCGAGTTTATAAAATCTTCTGCCTCTTTTCAGGAAATGGCTTGACTTTGAGAGTCACAAAATTCTCTGAGAACTAAGTTTCTTGTCAAAAAGGGGTTCTCGGAATCCCTAATAGCAGTAACCTGTTGAGGGGATTAGCAGACCCCTGCCAAACAGACTGGCCATGGGACCTGGGGGAGAGTTCAGTTGCTCTTAGAATCACAGATCTTGAAGCCTTCACATGTACAGGGACACATTCATGACACACATTTCTTGTGAATGGTCTCACAAGTTCACTTTGTACTTGCCCCGATGTATCAAGGTTCTTTTCTATTCCATTTGCATGTCCTATACTTTAATACATATAAGTGTGTTGGTATATATACCATCACAAGTAATTTGATAAAATGCCCAATGATAGCTATGCAGTAGAACTGGTATCTTTTCACTTTCTTGAGACCATGATACACCCACTGCTAGAGACAGAGAGGATGCCATTTCTAATAAATAGCACACACCTTACTCCGTTATTGGCAGAAAATCTGGGGCCAATATTCCTATCTCATGTCTGTGAGAACATAAGTCAGAGGACTGCATTCAACATATTACTCTGGCAGRTATGAGAATCTTTCTTCTTGGAGTGTTTTCTAAGTGTCCATCCTTGATTCCCTCTCCGGGACTACTTCATTCAGAAAGAAATAAAAAAAGACTATATTTCTCCAAATTTTCTAATGAAGGTAATTTAAAACTACAGTCTGAAATATAAGAAGAGATAAGTTATCTCTAAAAGGGAAAAATGAGAAATCAATAGAAGCACAATTAAGTGTAATTTAAATAATCTCAACAATAGGTAGATAAATTAGATAGATAACCTGTCTATAATCTTAAACTATCTAACTTTCCTGAATATGGGTAATGCTTCACTAAAGGACTTGAATATCTGTTTCAATAACATAATATTAGAGTGCTACCCTTGTCTCTAAGACTCTTATAATTATGTGCATTCATGTCAAGTATCTAGAATTCAAACATCCTTAAATCTGATCGAAAATATAATTTCAACTAAATAGTAGTTAGCCTGCATGGTTAAGCTTCTGCACCTCTGTGGGCTTCATTAAAACATTTCTTTTCCCCCAGTGAGTGAAACAGATTCTTGGATATGCCTTCTGAATCTCTTCTAAATTCCAGTCCGTGACTTTCAATGTTTTCATGGTATTGCATGAAGTAGAGCCACTTTCCTGGATTCAACATGTCTGAAACAAAACTCAACACCTTCTTCCTTGGAGTCTAACTCAACCTCCCATTTTTTTTTCTTCCCTCCTTCAATGACTCCATTAAATGACTCCCCTGCACTCTTTTGAACCACCCTTGCACAAAGGAAGTATACTGTCATGCTCTTGCTGTG